GACACACTAAAACAAGGAAACCTTCATGGAGTTCCTCACAATTCTAAATTTACCCTCTAGAATTTTTAAGTAACTCAAACAAATATTTTATTAGCATAGCACACTTAGGTTTTACCGCAAACATCACGGGGCAGTAAAGGATCCGGAAAGGACAAAGCTACACGTCAAGATAGGTCGGTGGTACTGACATATTCCATGAACACAAATTCTTTGAATGATTACTTGTTTATAATGACCGGTGTAATTATTATGTTCGCAGTGCTTCAAGCAACCCTCGAGCACTAACCTATGTGGGTATTACATGTTGGAGATGCTTAGGGTCAACAGGAGGTACACAACAAACATCAATCACGTAAGTCCTAACATTGTTCTCTATACAGAATATTTCATCGCAATTCAATTTGTAATATTTATTGTCTTTTTTCCTCAGACCCCTGAAATCTCTTATGTAGCAAACCGGTTCGACAACACAACAATTATGAAGGTATGCGCTGACATTTGCCACTTTATCCGCTGTGATTGCTGCAACGCACTAGGGCAATCTTACGACAATGAGAGTCAGCTGGCATTAGAAGATAAATTCAAGCCCCTAAGAGAGTGGGGAAAGAACATATGCAGTAAAAATTTACTATTTCGTTTGTGTTGAAACAATCGCTAATTTGTAATGTTTGGGACAGAAATGTTTAAATGTATAGATATTGTTGGGATACGCGTAGGCTACGATAGCATAAATCAAAATTTTATATCACATAAACCAGGAACCATGCAAGTATTAGATCATATATCGTTAGCACTCGACGCGCTGCGCAGCGGAAAAGGGCGCTAAGAAGTCGAAGGAATTCTCGCGAAGTAGCGCGCATCGATGTAGAGGAAGTAGTCGATCGCACCGACTCGACCTTCTTCTTCTCGTGCGTTCTCCTCGCCGTACTCCCACACCAATTAGCACCGCAAACCAGTGGCGCCTCTACCGGTATCCACACATACAGGGACGGAACGCCACGCGCAGATGTGCTAGCACCCGCCTGCGGCTAGGGTTTTGCTCGGGGAGGGAAGTGACGGCTAGAGTTTCTCACGTGATGCAATGCCTCCGCCGGTCACACCTCTCACGAATATATAGGATCCATCACTCGGGCCTCCAAGGCCCGTTGGACTCCTATTCGGATCCCTGTCCGAATTAAACTCATATTGGATCTCCATCCAATCCCCTTATTCTGGCCCATTAATCGTGCGACCCTGTAGGTTCATGTACACTCGGCTGTAACCCGAAAACTCCTTTTCAGTCCACGTGTCAACAGCGGCCCCTAGCAGAACGTATTGACCCACCGGGCATACATAAAGATCATATCGGCTGAACCTCTAGTGTATACTTGTATGAACCCCTTTGCCTCACGATATAGATTAAGCTCAAGGCTAGATATGTGCCATCCTCTAATAGCTCAATCATTCACTCGAACTTGTTGATAGATTATATAACTTGTGATTGACTCCTCAATCACCTGTGGCATGGCCATTTACTTCCATAATCTACAACATCGAGGGGCCCAGAGATATCTCTCCATAGGACGGGCAAATCCCATCTTGATTATTCATATCTCACTACATGTTTCATAGCATAACCGAAAACTACTTTTATAACTACCCTATTACGAAGTAGCGTTTAGCAGTCCCTAAGTAAGCTACTACATATGTTGGGAACCATGATAATCTCAGGTCTAAGGATTCAACACCAACACTAAATGAGATCACTAATGACACAACACATATGGCTCTTGCAGTGTCTCATGTTGGGTCTATCCAACAACATGTTCACTAACATGTGTCCACATTATTAATTTGGTATCTCTATACCATGATCCATGAGACACGATCATCAATTAATACATGTGCTGATCATCTAATCATATTTGTTCCACATATGATATTTGATCAGGGATCCTTTAGAAATAGTAACAAACAACATAAAGAGTCTCATGAAAGAATCACATATTCATTAACCAATAATGAGTTATCTATTTCAAGGAACAATGTCGGATAAATATGTAAACATAGTATGTGATACAATCATTTCTATGATTGCCTCTAGGGCATATCACTAACAGATATATGTATATAAATGTTTTCTGTTTTATATATGGAAAGTTTGTTTATTTGTCAATGCAAAAATTCTAATTATTATATGCTAAGAACAATAACTCAGTTAGGTTCTATGCATAGTATTTCAGATTTAGATTAGAAATAGCGGGAAGTATTATATCACATAGGGGACACGATCTTCCCAAACAGCCAGCGAGTTATTGGCCGCATGCAATAATCGATTTTCACATTGAGAAGTGTCATGTAGATGCCATGTGGCCAAAACCGGGTTAGTACTACCTTGGGATTATCTTTGATCTATTTTTTTTACGTTGAGGGAGGTGTTATACCCAGTTTTATAGTTGAGGGATGCTATTTGATGAGGGAGACACGTAGACTTAGTCCTTGATGAAATGAAGGCAGCAGGCAAAAAAAAAAAAACAATTACATGAACCTGAATATGGCCCAAATTCTGATTGTATTACCTCTGTAATGCTGCACACGAATCTGTTGTTAGAAATTAATCTTGATTACCTCTGTAATGCTGCCACTACTCACTACTGGATAAACCTTTTATAGTCCCGGTTGGGAACCCCCTTAGTCCCGGTTTTCCAACCGGGATTACAAATCCGGGATGGATATCTTTAGTCCCGGGTGGAATAACCGGGACTAAAGAGTACAGCGGCAGTCCCGATTAGTTTCTTTTTTTTTATTGTTTTTTTCTAGTGATTTTCTCCCAAATCCAGTGGGATGTATATCCCCAAATCAAACTAACATCCCAAATACCACAAATCAAATACATCACAGATTATACATCTCATATCCATGCAATGAATTACATATTCTCAACAAAAAAAGAAATTATGCATCTCAATCCATCCAACGAATCACAAATTCTTCATCTCAATCAATACAATGAATCACAATTTTTTTTTAAAAAAGAAGACAAATCTCCGGCAGAGGGATGCCCGGCCGGCCTCCATGCATGCGCGCACAGCTGGAGAGGGCGCTTCCGGCCACCGGCCGCCGCTGCCGCCATCCCCTCCGCTCCGGATCTGGCGGAGGGGAGCGCGAGGCCGCCGCCGCGCCCGCCCGGTCGCCACCGCTCCCACCCACCCGCCATCGCGCCCACCCAGCGGCCGCCGCCGACCCAGAGAGCAAGAGGAGAGGACTTGGTAGGGAGGGGGAGGAGAGGGGGGATCCGGAGAGGTGAAGCGGAGGAAGGGGAGAGGAGAGGGGAAGTGCATACGCGGTTGGATTTGGATCGAGATGAGGCCGATATTAAAGAGGGAGAGAGGAAGGGAAGGGGATCGATAAGTCTTGGACTTGGCGCGCGCGCGGTTTGGGAGGATTTTTGGTACCTGTTGGGATAAACAAACGGGACTAAAGATATATTTTTAGTCCCGGTTGTTTATACCAACCGGGACTAAAGTTAATTGGGGCCTAACTAGATTTGGTAACTTCTTTGAACCGGGACTAAAAATGATCTTTAGTCCCGGTTGGTCAAACATTTTTAGTCCCGGTTCCTATTCGAACCGGGACTATTGTGGTTTTTGGACGACCGACGAAAGATGGTTTCTCCAGTAGTCTGGACACGAATCTGTTATTATAAATTAATCTTGATTACCTCTGTAATGCTGCACACGAATCTGTTGTTTTTTTAATATCAGCATGTTTATCTAGATGCATACGTGTGTGTTGCATGGCGTGGAGAGCTAGCTGTGTACGTTGGTGCTGCGTGGCTTAGTGAGTAGTGCGCCAATAAACAGCCAGGAGGTAAGAGCACAAGTTTAGGAGTAGGAAATGGTCAGTTTGCATGCATGCACTGATCGGAGACTGAGTTGTGTGAATATGCATTAGCTTAGAGGTTTAGTTAGTGGTTAGTTACCGGGTATACTGGCTGAGAATGTAGTTAGTGGAACACGTGCTAACCAGCTCGTGACTACATGTGTTTCTATATACGGAGTATATATATCTATAACTAGCTTGTGTTTATGAGAAGAAAAAGAGAAAAAGGCACAAGTTGTTTCGGTGCCACAAAGCTCTCATGTGTGTTTGCCTGTGTTTGTGTTTCTTCCCCGTTGCCTAGTGTAGCCTGTATTCGTGTGAGTTGCTTTGTTTCCTAACATCTGTTTGGTTTCATTGTATGAGACACAAAAGCTGGTTCACTTTTGTAAGTAAAGTAAACCAGTTAGCCACAAAGAAATTCTTCAGTGTCACAAAGTATTCAATGGTAGCTACAATAATTGTGCTACCAAAACCCAAAATGGTAGATTTATCATCTTTCCTATGCTTTTTTGGCTTTTGAGGTGGTGACATTTCTACTGAAGCTGCACTGTTCTCTTATAGACTGTAAAATGTTATGCCCTGACACCCAAAACGAGTCCTATGCAGAGCAAGTGCTAGGCTTATAGCACTATAGCAGAAGGAGGCTTTCACTAAGATGCATTAGGAATCAGGTAAAAATTTGAGAGATTGAGAGCCTATTTGAAGGACCTTATGATTCCAAGAAAGCTGGTTGTAGCTATCCTCTGAGAATCTGGAGAAACTAGGTTTTCAAATTTTCGGTTTCTAGTTCATTTTTTAGATTTTACGACTACAACTTTTTAGAATCTGGACAAAAGCTAGACTATTTGGGAAGATTCTGATTCTAGGAGAAGTTGTAGCTGCTAGAATCTCGTCCAAACAGGTGCTTGAAGGGAAAGAAGAAGCTTGGAGGAAATAGTTATATTGGCATTTTAAATATTTGGTGTTTTACAGTATTTTCATCTCCTTCTCACTAGAACCGGCTGGGCCATGTGATCTGGAAGCAGCTGGAGCAATATCAGTAGATTGGTTTTGTAAAAAATAATATAACAAGACTAGCACCAGCATGTTTTCCACAGAGCTGAAGCACCGCCACTTCACCGTCTAAAAATATAACTAACTTAATCCTCTAAATTAATATTATGCAATAAACATTCTTGAGTCCATACATTAAGATGTGGTTTATACTGAACCGAGTACAACTACCATATACAAACATTACAATATAAACGGTACACATGTATGTAAATTTGTGCTATGAACACAGGAAATGTTTTAAGTACAAAGAACGCCAAACACAAGGGACAAAGGATAAACACTTCTACCGTGGTAGGCTAGCAGATGACAAGAATTCTTTCTCCAAGCTATAGCATGAGGTTTGAGAGCGTTGAGATGCTACATTAGCTCTGTCAACATTTACTAAAGCATGAATCACTTGGTCAATGGCTCCTTGAGTCAGTAGTGATTCTATCTCTTGGTTTCTGTCTGGACTAACATGTGATGGGGTCATCTTTTCTGTTCGTAAAAGCTGCAGTGTTATCTCTACTTGCCTCATTGTAGGCCTTTCTTCACCTTTTAGCTTTATGCACATCTCAGCAAGGGAGGCAACTTGTCTAATATCTTCTTCATTTGCCTTGTCAAGAACCGGAGGATCTACCAAATCTATAATTGGTCTGGTCTTAATCTCCGAAAGGAAGTAAGTACACAAATTTTGTTTCATCCCTGACATTGTTGTAAAAATAGGTTGCATTCTTAGAAGAAGCTCCAAGAGTACCACACCAAAGCTGTAGACATCACTCTTCTCATTTAGCTGCCCGGTTTGGTAATATTCTGGATCCAAGTAACCGAACGTGCCCTGTACATTTGTAACAACATGGCTTTGGTCAACTGGAACAGATCTTGAAGCGCCGAAATCCGAAACTTTAGCGGTATAATTTGCATCCAACAGTATATTAGAGGACTTCACATCACGGTGGAAGATCGATATAGATGCTGCAGAATGTAGATAGCATAGAGCTCCTGCGGCCTCTGCTGCAATCCTTAAGCGGTCGCCCCATGACAATGGGAATGTGCTACTTGAATCATGATGAAGAAGTTCAAATAATGAACCGTTTGGGATAAAGTCATAGACTAATAAGGGGACCTCAGTTTCAAGACAACATCCAAAGAGTTTAACAATATTTCTGTGATTTATTAGAGAAAGTATGGCAACCTCGTTGATGAAATCGTTGATCTCACCTTCCTTTATGACTTTGGCTTTTTTTATGGCTACCACATGTTGGTTTGATAAGATACCTTTGTAGATAGTGCCATGTCCTCCATGCCCTAGGATACGTGTGGAATCAAAGTTATTTGTTGCCCTTTTTAGCTCTTCTATGGAGAAAATCTTTGTCTTCTCACTAGCACTTTCATCTGATGATATCAATTGTTCTAGGAGGAGGCCTTGGTTCTTTTGGAAATATTTTCTCCGTATTTTTTTATGGACATCTCTTTTCCATCTTCTAATGATAGCTATTACAATCGAGCTAAGAATCAACACACCAAATCCAATGGTAAGGCCAATTATAATACCTACAATGATAACATCGCATTTGTAATATCTTCATACACCCTTTTGTCAGTGTGGAATTGATTATTATGAGACTACCTAACAAGAGACTTTGGTTTCTTCTTGGAGTGCACTGCATTCTTATAACGTCATACTCTGTATGATCAGGGCACATGGTGCAGCTGTAGTTTCCTTCAGTATTGTGGCAAAGTTCCTTGCAAATCCGTGGTGTTTGTAGGCATTCGTCAATATCTGCAACCATATCTCAGCATGTCAATGTATAGTGTAACAATAACTGATCAAATAACTATTCAGTAAATGTTTATTCAATAAAAATATTTGAAACATTAAAATTAGAGACTTCATATTTGTACAAGACAGAATTCCACACCAGAAAACTATAAGAGGATATAGTATATATATATATATGTATCCCATCTGGTTGAATTCTAAGTTGGTCAAAGAGATAATTACCTTTACACCCATCTGGGATATATGGATTTCCATCATAACCAGGCAAACAAGTACACCTGTAGCCAACATAACCTTGCATGGTGCTGATGACCCTGGAGCAGGAGCTATTGGTACTTACACAAGCATATGTCGAAGTGTTTTGCTGCGCCTGTTGGCAGGTCAGATTGGCAACTGCCCACTGCACCGAGGCTGATTCCGTTGGATCCACATACAGGTTAGGCCCTTTACCAAATATGTTGGATACTACTCCTTGAGATGAAAATCTGAATTGCGAAAACATATTGAATAAGATCTCCACGAAAGATGAGTTGTATTTAATGCCAACAAGCCCCTCACTGACATTTATATACTGAACACCGATGAAGTCATTGTACTGCAGCACAGAATTTGGCTTGCCTAGGCACGAGAGCTGAAACACTTCCCTGGCGGCACAACCCTCTTCAAGGCCAAAAGGAAATGGGACAACGATTGTTCCACATTGTCGAGAGCAATTATGTTTTTGTGGTCTTGGGTTATAACCTGCGAGTTACATGAACAAAATTTAAATTATCCGAGACCATATAACAGTCGATACAAGCAAATAATTTCGGCAATGTTTAGTTTCAGGGGTGAAAAGTTTTGGCGTGTTATACTGGATATACGAACACACATTTAAGTATTAAATGTAAACTAATAACAAAACAAATTACAGATTCCACGTGTAAACTGCGAGACAAATTTATTAAGCCTAATTAATCCATCATTAGCAAATGTTTACTGTAGTACCACATTGTCAAATCATAGAGCAATTAGGTTTAAAAGATTCGTCTCGCAATTTACACACAATCTATGTAATTAGTTTTTTTTGTCTATATTTAATACTCCATACATCTGTCTAAACATTAGATTTGACAGGGTGAAAAGTTTTTGCGTGGGAACTAAACATGGCCTTCATAGTTGCAAATAGAAAGCAAACAAATCCTCGCTCAATTTAAAAAAAAAATAAGTAATTTTAGACTTCAACACCGTCTTTGAGATGATACTTTGACCAACAATATTTTTTTTAAAAAAATGATGTTTTAAATAAACAAGTTACATATTATGATAGTTTATTTAATGATAAATCCACTAGTAATATCATTTTTACATGTTTGATTTTTTTCTATTAATAGTCAAAGTTAAAAATATTTGATTTATCACTATTCTAAAATTGCTTATATTTTGGGATGAAGGGATTACTAATTTATGTCATATTATACCTGACACGCTATTGTAGAAATGGCCTTCCAAACCGTCCCATCACTACCGGTTCTTTTAGAATCAACAATGTAATCCTATGAACCGGCAGGGATAGGAAGTCAGGAACAGGCATACTTAAATAATGGTTCTTGTTTTAAAAGATTATTAACTAGACATGAAGCTGGATCAAAACACATTTTATTATCAATATTGTATCAACAAACTTTGTACGTACTTGTCAACTTTAATATTTGAGATTGTTTATATACCTGAGTATGCATTAGATATGCTCAAGTCAATTTGGAGAATATCTACTAGACGTGCACATATAATATAATAAAGTACGCTGTAGAGCTTGACGAAATCTATGACCTAATTTACAGTCGATAACTTTTTCATTTGAAATCATCCATAGTGTCAAATATGCATTAAAAATTTTGGACCAAATTAAAGAGTCAAAAGAATATCAGATGCTTTTTACACAAGTGCCCTGTATGAAACAAAGTAAGAAATGTATACGTGGAGAGAGGTTTTGGGTTCGAATCCCATATGTTGTATCTGGCACTAGGAGAGATGATATTTGGTACCACTTCTCAGCCCCTATTAATTTCGATTGTAGCAACTGAGACAAAGAAATCGTGACTAAAGTTCTTAATTTTTAGTTCCGGTAAAATCAAAAAATATGTGAAGATATGGGATTTGAACTCAAAATCTCTAACCTCAACCCTCATAAGTATTACCATTCCACCTACTATACAAATTTGACTTGGATAGAGATACATTCTTTTTAAACTAACCCTAGAGGCATGTTTAAAAAAAAATATCTTTAGTCCCGGTTCGTAATACCAGCCGGTACTAAAAATGTATCTTTAGCAAACTAAAGATATTTTTGAGGACTTGGGCTTTTAGAACTGGTAATAAAGTGATTTTAGTAACAGTTCTTACTACATCCGGTGTAATTGTAGTTTGCGGCATTGGATAAAAGATGAGTTCTCCTGTAGTGCGGACACTAGTATCACTGCCCACAAAATATATTTTTTTGCAAGTAAAACACCGGCTAAGCTAAATTGAAGAAAAATGCATCAAATGGTAAGACTTCGATCCGGGAGATAGTGGAAAAATAGTAAGTTTAATGAAACCCAATTTAGCTATTCTTATAAATATGGAATCCACATTTAACAAATTTATGTAACAACTGTGGCACTAGAGTATCATTTGACTACACTTTTAACAAGTTTAGCAATTCTTTGGGCCTGTTTACTTCCTAAAACAAAAAACTTTTCACCCATCACATCAAATGTTTGGACGCATGTATGGAGTATTAAATATAAAAAAACAATTACACAGTTTGCATGTAAACTGTGAGACGGATTTTTAAGCCTAATTGCGCCATGTTTGACAATGTGGTGCTACAGTAAATATTTGTTAATGACGGATTAATTAGACTTAATAAATTCGTCTCGCAGTTTTGTGGCGGAATATATAATTTGTTTTGTTATTAGAAAACGTTTAATACTTCAAATATGTGTCCGTATATCCAATGTGACACCCCAAAACAAAAAAATTTTGCCATATAAACCGGGCCTTACATATGGAATCCATCAGCCAACTGCTACGATCATTCCACTTAAAATAGCCCACTAGTAGGGATGCAAGTGGGTAATACCTCTACCCCATAAAAATCTGCTATGTAGTATAAAATTTGAAAGAAAAAATTTGCAGAAACATATCCCACATAAAAGAAACAACTACTCAGTCATTAGACTTTTTTCTTAGTCAAACTTCTTAAAATTTGACCAAGTTTATACAAAGATATACTAATATTTTTTATACAAAACAAACATATTATCAAAATATATTCAATGTTCAATTTAATGAAACTAATTTAGTGTAGTAGATGTTGCTAATTTTTTCTATAAACGTGGTCAAACCTAAATAATTTTGACTAAGAAAAAGTCAAACGGCTTATAATATAAAATGGAGAGAGTAGCTATAAACTAGATGTGGTTCTGTTAACTGTACTAATACCATAATTCTTGAGATTGTACCAAGCATATATATATATATATATATATTTATATATATATATATTTATATATATATATATATTTATATATCAAAATATTCATAGTTTTTTTCTCCAACTTCAACCATAGTGGCATGTTTTATTTGCTATGCCTCCAACAACAAGACGTTGTTGGAGAAAATCTTGTTTGTAACCTAAAGTAAAGCAGTTTGATCTTCTAAAACTAGTCTCAAATGTGAACAAGTCATCTCAACCTAAAAACTCTAATCCAGCCATAACTCAAGCTCCAAGCTAGATTTCTTGAAGCTAATGATATCCAATTCTCTCTTGGAGTTTAAGTTGTACTACCAAATAGAGCCTTAATTAATCATGGGGCAGATACCTCTCTTAGTAGTTGACCCTCTTAGCTTTGTGATATTATAGAATAAACCTGTTGCTTTGTGCATGAAACAATTTTGTGCTAAATCTAAATTTGTATTTTTTTTCTTGATAATTTTTATTTAGTGCTAAATATATAGGTTTATAGCATTGAGTTATCAAGAAGTCAAGTGAGTTAGCATGTAGAAGAAGTGTTATATCCGTAGGGTTGTATAAAAATGATATACTAAAACTATTTTTGCGTAACTTAGTTTTGAGTATAAAGGCACTGATTTTGGACTTTTGCAGGTACTATATGATACAACATTAAAAAAAAAAAAGCTATGATGAAGAAATTACCGTCATCGAGTTTGCAGCCATCCATAATATAGGGATTTCCAACGTAGCCATCATTGCACCGGCATGCATAGCCAACATCAATATACTGCGAGGAGACACATGAACTGTGATTGCTGATACAAGCATGGTTCTTCCTGTCATCCTCCATGTTATTCAAGCATCTTGTTTGGTCCACAATATTCCAAGCAAGGTTGGCCTTCACAGTAATGTTGATTCTATCCCACAACATGGTTAGATTAAAGTACTTTTGGGTATTACCGGTCTTGTGACGAACAAACTGTAACTGAACTGTCCGAGCTGGTAGTGAATCTATAGTGTACCAACCAGGGCCTTCAGAATCCTGTCTGTATACCATCTCAGCAATCTCTTTGCTGGGACAAGCGATAGTGCCAAGCAAAATAGGTGTGCTTTTTTCTTGATCTACCATGTATACATCCAAGTCACAGCTGGTGACAACAAATGTCATGCCCTGTCGTGCAAAGGTAAAAGAATCCCCTGGATTTTTCCATGAAAAGTTGTAGACATCACCACCGGAATTTATAGGGATGACATGGGTGGAGGTGATCGGAATTAAGTTGAAGTGGATAAAATAGATATTCAGACCATCTACCCCAATATCACCAAGAACCTCTGTCGATCCATTGTTCAGGAAGAGTTTAGGAGGCTGAGTGGCCATGTCGCATGTGAGACTGAAATCGACATGGCGGAAACAACCTTGTCCTATGCCAAAGGGATAATCGAAGCTCAATTTGCCGCATCTCTTTGGACAGCGAGCGAGTGTAGAAGTGGAGGGTAGGGATGCATTAGAAGGACTTGGATTGGTACCATGATCCAGTAGGAACCTTTTCTCCAACCGTCTGGTCATACCCTCTGGATATGGGGTGATGAGATGGCCATAGGAGAGGACTGGACTGAGTGCAAAGCTTCTCTTGACTTGAGCTATCCCCAATAACACGAATGAAAGCAAAGGTAACATGGTGTTGAGGTGGCCCATCTAAACTCTGCCAAGCTGCTACCCTCTCAGAAGTTTAAATATAAGTGTGTCTAGAGCTATGCCTTTCAGCCTTTGCCTCTGCTCTTACAGTTGGCCCTCTATTTATAACAGAATGAAAGCTAGTCAATTTCAGTGGGTAGTGACGAAATTTTCTATAAAATTTTCAATATTGAGGTGGGGAAGGTGTTTATACAGTATGTGGCGCCACAAGCTCTTGCTACGTGTATTGGATTATTCAAACTACCGAACGTTGAATTGTACTTATATGCTGTTGGCAAATTAGTACATGTAGTGGTTGGAAAGAAGGATGAGTCACTGCATTTCTTGGGACAAAAATATGTTAATGTCTACCCTCTTCGTTTTATATTATAAGATATTTCAATTTTTTAAGTTATATTTGTTTAAATTTAATCAAGTTTATATATAGAAAACACTAAAATTTTCAACATAATACAAACATATATATTATTCAAATATATTCAATGCTAATATGATTAGACTAATTTAGTATTATAGACGTTGCTAATAAATTTATCTGTAAATTTGGTCAATTTAAAAAATGCGATTAGTGAAAACATATAAAATAAAATGGAGTGAGTAAAACATTTTATTATATTTGGCATTGGACTAATGGATTTACTGTTATTTACTCAATCCAGGCAGTGCTATCTTGCCACCCGGTGTCAAAAGAGAAGACTTCAAACATGTCGATATAAAAACAATGACACGGAGAGTTACTATCAAGCAGGTGACACCGTGTAACACAAAGCTTCTCTTGACTTGAGCTATCCCCAATAACACAAATGAAAGCAAAGGTAACATGGTGTTGAGATGGCCCATCTAAACTCTTTGCCAAGCTGCTAACCTCTCAGAAGTCTAAATATAAGGGCCTGTTTGGTATAACTCCAACTCCTAAATATAACTCTAGGAGTTGAATTTGGAGTGGAGTTGTGGAGCTGCCTAAACCCAGCTCCACAACTCTAGTACATTTTGTGAGAGAGCTCCACCCAACTCCACTCCCAGTTTTGGTGGAGCTGAAACTGTTTGACTGAGCTCCAGCTCTAGGAGGGGTGGAGCTGGAGCTGGAGCTGTGCCAAACAGGGCCTAAGTGTGTCTAGAGCTATGCCTTCTAGCCTTTGCCTCTGCTCTTACAGTTGGCCCTCTATTTATAACAGAATGAAAGCTAGTCAATTTCAGTGAGCAGTGACGAATTTTCTATAAAATTTTCAGTATGTAGCGCCACAAGCTCTTGCTACGTGTGTTGGATTATTAAACTACCAAACGTTGAATTGTACTTATATGATGTTGGCAAATTAGAACATTCGTAATATTTTCAACATAAAGTAAACATATATATTATTTAAATATATTTAATGTTAATATGATTAGAATAATTTAGTGTTATAGACGTTGCTAATAAATTTATCTGTAAATTTGATCAATTTAGAAAGTGTGACTAGTAAAAACTTATAAAATAAAATGGAGTGAGTAAAACATTTCTTATATATATATGGCATATAGGACTAATGGATTTACTGTTATTTATTCAATCCACGCAGTGCTATATATCTTGCCACGCGGTGTCGAAAGAGAAGACTTTGCAAGCATGTCAATATAAAAACAATGACACGGAGAGTTGCCATCAAGCAGGTGACACCGTGTAGAGGGATGAAGGACACGATGCAAAAGTCTTGGCTCTTGACTTTGACTAATACATTTCTGAAAGCAACATGCGGCATAAACAAACACGCTCAGAGACACACGATCAGGGTAAGTTTAGTTCGCGAAAAGAAAAATTATATGTTTGATCGGATATCGGAAGGGTTTTTTTTATACGGATGAAAAAACTATTTTTATAACTCGCCTGAAAACCGCGAGACGAATCTTTTGAGCCTATTTAATCCGCCATTAGCACATGTGAGGTACTGTAGCACTTATAGCTAATTATGGACTAATGCTTTGTTCGGTAGAGGAAGTTCCCAACCCTATTTTCTCGTTTTCCGCGCGCACGCTTTTCAAACTACTAAACGGTGTGTTTTTTGTAAAAAGTTTCTATACAAAAATTGCTTAAAAAATCATATTGATCCATTTTTTAAAAAGGAAATAGCTAATACTTATTTAATCACGCGTTAAACGTTGCTCCGTTTTGCGTGCTAGGGAGTGCTCCCGAACACAGCCTAATTAGGCTCAAAAGATTTATCTTGTGAGTTTCCTCCTAGCTGTGTAATTAATTTTTTAATCTATATTTAATGCTCTATGCATATGTCAAAGAATTGATACGATATTTTTGGAAAAACTCTTGCGAACTAAACCAGGGCCTAAACTACTTTATTTCCATTGCAATTCCAGGAACATGTGCAAGACCATTATATATATATTCATAATCACTGGAGGTGACAAAACTATCACGCGGTATTTTGGAAGTCTTTACGTACAGAACATACCTTTCTAAAAGCAATTGGCTTCTTAGAAAAAGGCACATATCCAAATAATGGAATGTGACATTGTTCTTTTGAAGGAAAAAAGCATTCAATTTCAAAGGATTTTTTTAAAAAAAGTCCGGTCTATGAGCTGAATGCTGGCCTATCTTTTAAAACTAATAATTAATGCTACTAGTTGTATGGTTATTTTAAGGCCCTGTTTAGTTTTCGAACAATAATTTTTTAATATGTCACATCGAATATTTGAACACATGTATAGAGTATTAAATATGGAAAAAAAAACTAATTACACAAATTGCGTGTAAATTGCGAAACGAATCTTTTAAGCAATTGTGCCATGATTTAACAACGTGATGCTACAGTATTTGCTAATGACAGATTATTTGGGCTTAATAAATTCACCTCGCAGTTTCTAGGCGGAATCTGTAATTTGTTTTGTTATTAGTCCATGTTTAATATTTCAAATATATATGTGTATATCCGATGTGACACGCCAAAATTTTCATGCATGACCTAAACATGCCCTAACTTGTGAAATGAAGTTATTTCTTCAAAATATTTAGTTGCAAAATATTTCTTCAAACTTCCAACTTTTCCATCACATCAAAACTTTTCTACACACACAAATTTTCAACTTTTCTATCACATCATTTAAATTTCAACCAAAGTTCTAATTTTGAAATGAACTAAAACACACCCGTAGTCAAGCACGAAAGCTGCGATGGAAGTTATTTGCGTGTGAAGGCAAACAATGTAGAGGGCCATTTCGAAACACTTTCTGCAAATCGTACGTGTGCTCAACGGGAGGGTGAGGTTGATCGAGAGAACCCAAACAGTGCTGTGGTATATCTACCAAATTTAAAAGGTGCGCACCCCAAAAAGCCACAAAAAATGGTGAAAAAACATTCTCAGATGCGAAACACTATTACATATATGTACCACACTAAAAATCATCTCAAATTTTATGTAAACCAGAAGAAAGAAGATTTTCAAATAGTTCACATTACTATTCACAAGAGATTTATCTTTTTTTTTCTCCTCAATATGTGTAGATCAAATTTTGAGTTTATTTTTTGTGTGCTACTATATGACTCATAGTGTTTCATATACCAGAACATTTTCAATTTATTTTTTTTTTGACTTTTTAGAAGCAGATTTTAAGTTTAGTTGTACAGCGAGGACAACACACTTCTAGAAAACTTTTTTTTTAATAGCACGGGATAGCTCATCTATAACGGGCGGGAAGGCTCACCTATGTCGGTGAGGGGTACCGTCACAAAACAAAGGTAAGTGGTGTGAAATGTCATATGTGTCGGATCGGCCACCGTCACAGATGACAATCATCTTTATCGGACCTAAATAAAAGACCGTCACGCTCATCCGTGACAGGTGGTAGTTTTGATCCGTCACCAATGAGAGTCATCCATGAGATTCAAACCTAAAAGATCCTATTTTTTTTTAAAATATTGCATGGATATTCTAACAATGGTCACATATCACTACTTAGAAATTATTTATTTTTCAAGTGGTAAATGCATACATGTCATACATGAGATTCAAACCTAAGACCTCTCAACACATGCAAACCAATCTTACCATCCCACCTACATACCACATGTTGATTGGTAATCAGATGTTATTTTTTAACTATTTATATCCAAATATAAAACACAAAATTGAAATGCTAGGTGACTTCAAATGACAATGCTTTGAACTACAAAGTTGCATATCTCGTCGAGCTCTACAGCTTTAGTGTAGGGTATATCTCCATCCAAGGTTGTTTGAAAAACACATTAAATTAAAATATTTTTGAAATAGATCACATCACTTGTAACACTTATTCGGAGAAGAAAACAATCTTAAATGAAAATATTTTCAATTAGAAAGTTGTAGATCTCATCAAACCCTTTGACTTTGATATAGGCCATGTCTCCATTTGAGATCATTTGAAAAATTCAAAATTATGTATTTCAAAATAGCTCTCACCACTTATAATGCAGTTGTCACCAACCCATGCATTACACGGGTCATGTTAAAATATTAATTTTTAATTGTAACCAAACTATGCTGGTTACTTTTCTACTAAGCCAACCAGAAAGGGTGAATGGTTGTAGTACGGTACCCAAAAACCAAAACTTTGAGTGGAATTAAAAGTTACCGTTGAATCGATGAAACGCGGTCTGACGGCAGTTGATCCGCCGGTCTGACCGCCTGGAAGTCGTCGGTCTGACCGGAGTAGATCACCCGGTCTAACCATCCCGAAATCGCCTATGCTTCCTGTCACTGATGCCGGTCTGACCGCCGTGTACCCACTGGTCTAACCGCCGGTGTCTCGCGGGTTAGACCGCCGAACCCGACCAAACACAAATTGAAGAACACCCAAAGTAGATGATAACTTTATTACTTCTCTCTATGTTTACAAAGTGCAGCAACAGCACTCCTCACGAAAATCTCCATTAAACCCGAAACCTAAACTATTCTCACAACTCAATGCTCTCTAAAGCGATACCGGGAGGCCTCACCCTCCCTCTCTATTTATACATGAGGTAGGCAGCCTAAAGCCACGAACCAAACTCATACCAGAAGTCCAAATCCCTCTAGGAAACTTTCCTGTATAAGAAACCAACTTTACAAACTCCAATTGTACCAAATTTGGACTACTTCCAAATTTGACTCCGCATCCAATACACACACAATATCTCCATCGTATGCCATATGGAATCTTCACCAACCACGTGCATTCATCTTTAGCCCAAGTATCTTGCATGATATGTGACCGTCCAGACATCACCTTATCTCCAAGTTGACTCCTAATCCATCATCGGCAATACTCTTTCGAGGCATCAAGACACCTACACATGAATCAAACAAAAAAAACTATATTCCGAGACCCAGCTATCTCCAATTTGACTCATTCTTAGCAAACAACAGTATTATATACACATAGTATCCATCTAGAAGCCATAAAAATGAACTATCCACGGATATCCAATGAAACAACCCGAAACCGAAACCGACACAGAGTCGGCTGGTTAGACCGCGGGCAAGCTGGTCTGACCGCACGCATACCTCCGGTCTGACCGGCAACACCTGCCTGGTCTAACCCGACACGACAATAAGCAGTCCATATTCATCACCTACAAATCCAATTATCTCCAAAACCACTTTGCCAATAATCACCAAATATCAAAACCAATAATCTCAGGTGCCAATTGCTTATCATAGAATAACAGTCAAACACATATTGATTTTATATAGTTGGACCACAAAAACAGCTCATACTGTATGTATAACTAAAAGAGCATATAATATTGCAAAACTACATATTTTATTTGAGATAATTTTAAGTATGATTTACGGTCATGATAATAGGATCAATCTAATCAACGGTCGGATCTTTCTTATTAACGTGAGGGCTCCTAAAAAGTGCCAAATTAGTATAGGTATAGATATTCGGGCATGTAAACTATCTCAAATTCAAATGTTATCAGTTTTGAAGTTATAAATATCATTGACATCTACAACTTTCATAATCTGAGGTTGTTTGAAAATTTCAAAAATTTGAATTTTTCCTCATGCGTGGAGGTTTGTAATTGTCACCCTTCAGGGTAACATTATCCGTGAAGGGTGTTAATTAAGATTGAGAGAATCTATCTATACCATCGAGTTTGTTCGAGTTCAACTATTTGCCATCGACATTATCTCTTTCTATAATATACCGATAACTTTAGCAATTGTTCTATGATATGCCATTGGGCTGGACCTTCTTTTCAAAAATACCTAAAATACCCTTAGAGACATACAAGATAAACAATTGATTTATCTCATTAGAAGTTTCAAAAAAATATGAAAATTTTTATGTGGCCTCCTTACACAACATGGAAGTTTGTATACAAGTTTTAAATTTTTTTGGTATATTTATCTTTTTACAAAAAATATTTTTACGTGGTATATGAGAGATGATAGCATAAAAATATCTTAGTAGTGTGTGAAAGATGATTTATATTAAAAATAATAAAAAAATATTTTTATATACAATATAACATATAAGTTATAATTTAAAAAAAGAAGTGTAAAAAACTTGAAACTCCTATACAAATTTCCATGTTGTGTAAAGAGACCACATAAAAGTTTTCATATTTTTTTGGAATTTCTAGTGAGATAAATCAATTGTTAACCTTGTATGTTCATAAGGGTATTTTGGGTATTTTTGAAAAGAATGTCCAACCCAGTGGCGTATTGTAGAACAATTGATAAAGTGGCCGGTATATTATAGAAAGATACAATGTCGATGGCAAATCATTGAACTCACACAAACCCAGTGGTATAGAATAGATTATCTCATTAAGATTTGTCATAGATGAGTGCTGTCATTTTGATGGGTTATCTTATTAGACCTGGCATGGATGACATGTTATCTGTGATGGGGCATGGTTGTTACCCGTTATGGGTCATTCATGCTGTGTGTTGGTATTTCCTAGCGACACTACTAGAAATATAATTCCCAGAAGTAGCACTAGAAATAATCCTGGTATATTATGGTTACAGATGTGATCCGCAAGCTCACGAGTATACCATTGTAGCATTTCACCCGGGAGTATTCCAATGTATCATATTTATTTTATCCCAAGGGAAGATATGATAAGAGAGTACTATGCTAACAATACATATATTACTTGTATCCATCAAAGTCTATGTAGGAGTTAGTTCAGTTCAAAGGGTAGGTTGACACAGAGAAGAAAGAACTAAGAACTACTCTCACTAAAATATAGTCTAAGCTAAGTGGAGAAAGAATAAGAAAAGCATCATTCTTGTCCTTCTAGTATACATACATCTTTAGTCTATACTTGCTATTATATAGTCATGTAACCAATACCCCGTACCCAGTGTCCTCTCGGTGTTTCAAGAAGCCACCCCTGTCTACCGAGTTCCTTACGACAGCCCATCATGACCATACAACCGGGGCTAAATACAGAGGAGTACCCTCCCCAGGGAATTAACTTAGGATTATATACCAGCGCAGAGGAATACCCGTACTGAGCTGTCACCATCAGCGGCCCACCTCTCATCCGCAGTATATAACCCCTATTAATGGTATCTAATAATCTAAGCACCGCGCTTACATTACTAAATACTACTCTACATCCTTGCAACCGACATAGAGCATCCGAATAATCGGACACTAAACCCACACCAATACACCTATCTGGAAAGCTAGTTACGCGACTATATTGATTCAAGTATAAAGTAAAGTCGGTACTCAAGTAATATGAATGGAATAAAATACCAAACTTGTATAAAGAAGAATATTCTATTAATTCATTAAGTCTTACAAAAGAAGAAAGGAAAGTTATTAAAGCCATACCCGAATTCTCCTGAAGACTCGAGGACTATGAAGACTATTCTATTTCCTACTCCACTAACACTAGAAATACTAAAAAATACTTGAGAGAGCTCTTGATCTTCTTTTTGAGGTGTGTGTGGGAATGAATGAGAGAAGGGATATTTATAGCCCATGAGGTGCCTTGGGAGAGTGGAGATGCTCCAAGAATCCTAGGAGCATCTTTGCTCTCCTCATGACAAGTGACATGGTCAAGCATCCAAAGAGCATATTTCATCTCCTCTTGCCATGTGTCCATGGCAGTTTCTTCAGGTAGAATTAGCTCGAACCGTCATAGGATGCCGGTAGTAACTGCCTGGCCGAAAATGGGCTGGATTGGGCAAGTTGGGGGTTCAGCCGAACCCTGGCTGGCTCCCCTGGCCCACAACCTTCTTCAGGATGTTGTCATGTGGGCCCCACTTTATGGTACACAATGTTTTGGGTCAGAATGATAGCTCATTTCTGAGTTCTTGGCCCATCCATCCATAAGTCTGATTCTCGATAACGTCTGTTTGATTGATCGATTATTGTACTGTCGATTCTCCTCCATTTTGATAGCTTCTCCTGCATGGTTAGTTTTCCAAGCATATAGTGGAATAGAATATTTTATTTATGGAATAATGCATTGCAAGCATAGTTAGTCCTCATTAATTGGGTAATATTGACAGCCGAAACTGGTCGATAACGACCGTCAACAATGTGTTAGAACTACGACCCGACAAAGATGACTTTAAATCAATGACGAGGTATGGTTGTGACCCATTATAGGTCATCCGTGACGTGCTAGAACTTTCACCCGACAAAGATGACTTTAAATCGGTGAAGGGGTATGGTTGTGACCCGTTATAGGTTACCTGTGATGTGTTAGAACGATGACCTGACAAAGATGATTTATATCAGTGACGGATCATCCCTGATAGTCATGTATTAAATGGGATACTTTTTGAACCGTTAGAGATGCGTCATCCAAAATAGGTCATATAAGCTCGACACATATGACTCGTCAAGGATGGCCGAATCTGTACTAGTGTTTACAACATTAGCTTTCATTTCTCCAGGTGGACCATAAAATTCCCACTTATAAACCGATTGGAAAAATAGCAGGAGCTGCTATAGTTATAGCCCCACTTGTAAAAATCAATACTTCGTACGTGAAAATTTCATGCCCCAGCATAAAAAAAATCTAAGCCCCATCTCCTTATCCTCTCCTTTACCACTCATTTCTCTCCCCTCCCCCTGCCACTTATCTCTCTCTCTCTCATGCTAAACCCACCACTTGGTTGCAGTGGCGGCGACTTTGACGAGGAGGAGCAACGACGGCTCTAACAAGGAGGTGAAAAGGTGGCGGCTCCGAGGAGGAGCGATGGCGAAAATGTCTCAGTCATGATGAGGAGGAGCATCGATGGCATCTCAGCGACGAGGAGGAGGAGAGGCGGGGCCTAGGAGGCGGATCAGGCAACAGAGCAAGGGTTGTGGTGGCTTGGCCTGTGAACGGTGGATCTGGCAGAGAGGATGATGACTGTGTCGACGCAACCTCCTTTCTCTCTCCCTCATGCATCGGCGGCAAGAGCAGCAACAAATGGCGGTTCCGCCACCGCTGGCCCTCGGGAGAGTGGATTCGCTGCCACCTGGCCTCAAGTGGATCTCGTCGCGGCTGGCCTCCGCCCTCCCTCGTCGACGCCGATGCTTGTGCACAGCTTCGGCTTCTTCCCCAAGACGCTAGCCGATGATACTACGGAGGATAACTCCAACACTACGACGACATCCTTGGCTGTTTTTTTTTTGTCAATTTGTGAGCATGAATTTTTTTTGGGTGAATTTGGGATGGTGAAGTTGCATTGTGAAATTTTCTTGTATGCCCATGCTAATGCGTCTTACATGATCCATATCTTTGGGTCATACGCTGATGAGTGCATTGACGGTGAGAGACCTTATTGCCCAGGCAAAACGTTGCAATATCAGTGGTGTCTGCACTCTACCACTAAGCTAATAGCCCATTATGTGGGGCCTTCCAAATGCTAGTCTTCCAGGGCTTGCACAAGAATGTTAGGAACAGATGTGGGCCACAAAAATAAAAGACATGTACTTTGTTCATTTAGCTTTCAGATTTTTTTTTTGACTGAAAGTACAGCCAGGGCTTTGCCCAGCAGTTTAAATTTTATAAATCATAAATATGTACAAATTTCAGATTTTGTTTCAACAGTTGAACTTTTCCAATAAACATCATAACCCCAAATATCCATGTTTTTGTTATGTGAGATCCTAAAAAAAATGTATTATCGATTTCAAACAAAAGAGGCCATTAACAATAAGCATAAGAAAAAGGGGAAATTATTAGCATTGCACCGGCAACGCGAAGCGGGAGCGGATAACATGTTTCTCATTTTTATTTGCTTCCACCCACATGGGCCCATAGGAAAAAGAAAAATACATGTTTCAAACCCTGATTTAAACAGGACGAGTATGCCATGCTAATGAGTACATTCAACTATCCATATAGGTGAGAGAACTTATTGCCCAGGCACAATGATGCAATATCAGTGATTCATTCTACCACTAAGCTAATAACCAATCCTGCGGGCCTTCCAAATGCTAGGCTTGCAGGTCGTGCACAAGAATGTTAGGAATAGATGTGGTCCGCACAAATCCAAGACATGTACTTTATTTATTTGGTTTTCAGATTTTCTTTCAGCAGTTGAACTTTTCCAATAAACATCACAACCCCAACTATCCATTTATTTGTTATGTGAGATCTTAAACAATTCAATTTTCATTTTAAAACAAAATAGGCCCTAAACAATATGCATAAGAAAAAAAAGGGAAATTATTAAGATTCCTTAAATCTACTTCCTCCGTTTCATATTATAAGACTTTTTAGCATTGCCTATATTCATATATATGTTAATGAATCTAGACATATATGTGTGCCTAGACTCATTAACATCTATATGAATGTGGGTAATACTAGAAAGTCTTATAATAACATGAAACGGAGGTTGTTTTAAATTTTGAAGAGATCCAGGAACTCATTGATCTAGGACTCTTGAGCAGTGTTACTTTGCTAAATGAAATAGAAGACACAATCTAATGGAGAAGGAATAATGTGGCCACATACTCGGCAAAAAGTCCTTATCTCTTCCAATTCATTGGTTCTCAGCAAGACAAGGTTTTCCTGTTGAACTGGAAGGCGTCGGCGCTTCCAAAACAAAAATTCTTAGGTTGGCTCATCCTACACCACAAGGTTCTAACAGCTGAAAACATGCTGATTCGGCACTGGGAGTGTGACTGGATTTGCCCCTTATGTAGAGGAGAATTTGAAGATACCGACCACTTGTTTCGACAATGTGATTTCCTAAAAGAAACATGGAATCTTGTCTCTGCTGTTCAAGGTATTCAGAATAACCAGACTTATGTTCCATAAAAGAATGGATGGCAGGTATCATGCAGAATGAAAACAAGACGGAAGTAAGGAGAAAGGTGGGTGTTCTTGTCAAGACGTGGTGGCATATTTGGCTCCAAAGGAATGCAAAGATCTTCAGAGGAGAAGAACCGGACGTGCAACGGACAGCACACCAGATCATCTAAGTTATTCAATAAAGCAGTTTTGTATTTCAACCACCATGATGTATATTTTTACCCTATCAAACCATAATATATGGTTTTGGGATGCTTCTAAGCTATTACGTCGCATCAATTATGTAATCGTGTAATCATGTAAACCGCATATTACTCTTCTTCTAATATATTCGGCAATACTCTTGCCGCTTTCCTTAAAAAAAAGAAATGGAGATAGTAGATACAAAGAATTTTTTTCTCTATAGATATGCAATAACAATATGAATCTTCAGATAAATACTACTCCCTCCGTTTCACAATGTAAGACTTTCTAGCATTGCCTACATACATACAGATGTTAATTAATATAGACATATGTATGTGTTTAGATTCATTAACATTTAAATGAACTTTCTAGCATTGCCCACATACATACAGATGTTAATTAATATAGACATATGTATGTGTTTAGATTCATTAACATTTAAATGAATGTGGGTAATGCTAAAAAGTCTTACATTGTGAAACGGGTGGGAGTATATGTTGCAACTTAGGTAGAAACCTGAAATTGAAATATCATTAAAAAGCTGAATTGATTATGGTTTATATAGACGCATGCATGGAGTAGTCATTTAGCAAAGGTAGCCCATAGCATTTTGTTCTCAAACCTTAACATTTGCTAAATAAACTAGAATACCTTTGTTTTTGAACAGAGGGAGTATATGCTTCTTATGAATCGAACTCATTTTACATACATTATGCATTTCCACATAGTACTTACTATACGAGGACATAGGTGAAGACTGTGCGAGTATGCGACAACATATTAGCAAATTGCTTGTTACTACTTACGAGGACTCAAACATATATAAATTATATATTTATTTATAGTTTGGGCGGCACACACACGACATATATAGCGAAGTGAAGAAATTACATCAAAGCATTGAGCAATTTGCATCTGAAACATAGATGCTTATGAACATTATTTATTGTGTAGGAGCAAGAAGTAAATGGACCAAGTACTTCAGGCTTTTGGGAAAAGTTGGATATGAAAACCTTCAGGAAATCGTAGTCCAGGAGAAAGGGCCATTCTTCCTCCTTTGATTGCTTTCCAACTGACAATCGTAGACAGAAAGATCAATTTTTTTTTTTGCAGTGCACTTAAGCGTCCATGGATATATAGGTAAGTGGTTCTCTTAATCCTAAGTACACTCATTACTTGCATATATAACAAAATGTTTGCAAAAGCTGTATACACATGTTTTAATACAGATGAAAATGATCTCTAAGTTCTCAGATGGATTCTGAAAAAGGTACACCCTCCATAAAAAAGAATCAAATCTTTCACATGTTCAGATTTATAGTTAGGATTTGATACTTAATGTAGAATGAAACGAATAGGAGTGAAAAATTTACCTGGACTTGTGACTAGGCAGTGGAGGAAAACCGCCATCTGCAGCTTGGCAAAATGAGCACCAACACACAAGCGCAGCCCCCCTCCAAAGGCCATGAAATCCTTGGAGGCACCACTAGCAGGTTCAGGAATATTCCGTACATATATAGCAACATGCATGCAACAAATCAAAACTTTGTGGAGGGAATTAATGCTGTATAGGCCGCACTCCTTAATCCTATTTTTTGATATCTAAGCACATGCAAGCCTTTATGTTAGTGTGAGTAAGCTATGTTTGGAATTCTATTTGTAGACAAAATATCCACATGACCATGTTAATCCTTCGACCTGATGCCTAACAAAAACAGTGGGCTTTTTGCTCCATTATTTCTAGCAATAACGTGTAGTACTTAGCAAGATCAGTAGAGTAAACTCTCTTATTTATCAGCCAATAGCAATTGTTTGGGTATCTTAGCTTGCTATATTCAGATTACACTAATAAATTATGTAGCACAATAACAAAACTTAAACCATATTTAAACATGTAAGTTGTGAACAAACCACCTAATTAAGTATGTCAAACATTATCTCAATGTAATAAAACTCAATTCAGCGGCTCGTCATGTTAATTGTTGGACATCCCGTTTGATGGAACTATACTACACTTGAGAATCCTGCCTATATACTTAAATATTTGGCCTGCTCACATTTGAAATTACAATGTTGCATGTGTTTACATGCAAAAAAGTTGGCTCCTTAATTGCTCAATATTGGTTTTCACTAGGAGGAATATAGATATACATTAATGCATGGTTAAGTATTATATCAGATAGAAATTAACTCCTTATGAATTTCACAAACCTTCCATCTCCAAGGATTGAATGTGTTGGGGTCCTTATAAACCACAGGGTTTAAGTGAACAGTGTAAGGACAAATCATAATTTTTGATCCTTTTGGGATAGCAAAACCTGTATAAATTATACCAATATATCTCATAAGAAGACATACTGCAATGTTTTTTTTTTTGACAAATTTGATACTATTCCCTCCGTCCATATTATGAGATATTTTGGGTTTGTTATAAGTCAAATTTCATCAAATTTAACAAACTTTATAAAAATGTAGCAAAAATTCCAACATAAAACAAATATATTATAAAATATTGTCAATGGTTGATTAAATAAAACTAATTTGATGTTGTAACAGTTACTATGTTTTTCAATGAACTTGTCAAACTACCTATAATACGGAAAGGAGGTATAGAACTTTTACCTATGACTTGTATAACTAATTCTTGTTAAAAACAATTCATTTTTACCTTTTATATGAACATCCTCTATGGCTTCTCTAAACATCACTGGAGCGATGCTTGCCAGCCTTAAAGCTTCATGTATAACCTACACATAATTAAGGTTACAAATAATTAAGGAGATGAGTGTATGCATATATTGTACGACGATTTGGCCTTAACCATAAACATGTGTAGATTGCTAATTATTTATGTAGAAATGAAGTTAAGAAATTGAAGGCATATACATGAGATGTGAATTTCATAGACTTGTATTCCTCCCACGTGATTTCGGAGTTCTTATCAGCCTTTCTCTTCCGAATGTTATTATGCTCCTCCTAAAAAGACCAAACATCATTAATTTTCAAGAAAACGTATCCTGGATTATTTGGAAATGTATAGCATTACCACGGTAACTTTTTTTGGGTAAAGCCCATGCGTTGCAATAGCCAATAGCATTTTAATTAAATAAGATTACCATTAACCCATTATTATCATATCTTAATTGTTGTACATATTTGTTATCGACACGTGGATCCTTTGACCTCAGACAAGTAGTTGACCTGTGGTGCTCTATTTTTTTTGTCTCATAAAAAATTGGGAGTTCTGGTGGTGTCAGAACCACCACCACCAATACTCTTTTTATAAGGAGCATAGATATGCATTCGTAGATATCAAATTCACATTCCTGCTATAATTCTTATGTATACATATGTTCTTATTAATTAAATATGTCTTAACATATCGGTTGTCACATACTCCTATATGATAGCTCAATCCTAAGGTATCAATGATGGAAATATTGAACATCTGACCTTATTGATTTTCTAGTATGAATTTATTAAAGGAGTTCATATGACTTGTACTAGTACTTACTATTAGTTCTTGCAAGGCTTCGGGATTATCTGTCAAAAATATAAGCATTGCAGTTATTCCGGATGATGTGGTTTCGAAGCTGGCAAATAGAAGCAAAAAGAGCAAGTCCAACACGGCATTCTCGGTCATTTGATCAGGATTCTTGGCCTTAACTTCCTCTATCACATCAAAGAAGTCAACGCTTTCATGGTGCTCTTCTGTGTTCTTCCTCTCATCGAGTATTTCTTTCAGCATCTTGATGACATTCTTTCGCCCCTGCAGGGATAAATTGGTCTATGATGATCGAACCTAGCTAGATACTCACTCCATTTTTATTTACATTACATGACATTAGTTAGTTAAAAAAACAGAGGAAGTAAAGTGTAATGTTCCCGACTCCTGAATCACAGACATGTTATTTATCTAGCTTCATTTCTTCATATCAGTTTGCAAGTTTTGTTTAGATTACAAGTTAATATGGGATAACCATGCAAATTAGTCAATCTTTACTTACAAAAAAGACTAAGTCGTGTGGGACACAGTCCATGCCGACTCCAATCAATATGCCCTTGTTTCTAATGACATGCGACAGGATCATCCACACTCCCGCTTTCATTATTGGAACATATGCCCCCGAGACCTCCCAATCTCCCATATATCGCTATAAAACAGGGAGCCTGACCTTTGCAATCTCCCAAGGTGAATGTCTTCCCGATAAATCTTTCTTTAATACCGATTTCAGGGTCATGATTCTAGCTTGTTATTGGGCCACGTGGCAGACTGAAAAATTAGCTAAACATCACCAAAATTTTGCCACGTGTCAATCAGAATAAGCTCTTGTGATGTCCCTTGCACATCAGAATCTCTAGAAAACTCATTACTCTACCTGTCTCTTTGCACTAATGCAGTTGATAAGTATCGACAAATAAAATAATAAAGAGAGTTAATAAATGCTTCACTTTTGCCAACCGATAGCCGGAATCAGCTTTTAAATTGTCATGTTTTGATGGATCCAAAAGATATAGTTATATTTAACATGTAAAATATTTTACGATATTTATATAACTTTGGCAAAATGAAGAATTGCTAGAAATAAAGTTTTCGGGGTTGGAGTAGATTTTTTTTTGTTAGTTCTACTTTGGTGAGAAATGCCCCGTCATTGTAGGTCTAAAAAAATGTTTGGAATTGGGTATAAGTATTAATAAACTAGGTGAGTTTTTTAGAAAATGGATAAAATCCAGTTTACTTCAATAGAAGCTATAGCCATTATTACATAGTTCTTAGCTGAAGACCAAATATAAACTAGGTGAGTAAGTGGAAAAATTAAATAAGAAATATTATGATTGGTTGAGATAAGGGACGGATACTCTTGCTATATTCTGATATAAACTTTGAATGCTTATATTTTGAACGAGGAAAAGGTGTTTTTTTTATCATAAATTCGATTTGGTCTTTTTTTATGTAAAAAACGAGTACGGTCGTTATTTAAAAATGTCCATTTTGTAAAGCTTATTTTCAAAGACCATGGCTTATTTAGCTAAAGATAAAGCTTGATAATTAATATTTTTAAAATAAGTACATTTTAAATAATGTAGACTTACATAAAAAACAATCCATTTTGTAAAGCTTATTTTTAAAGACCATGGCTTATTTGGCTGAAGATAAAGCTTGATAATCAATATTTTTTTAAAATAAGTACATTTTAAATAATGTAGACTTACATAAAAACACTTTTTAATAGCTATGCCATAAATAGATTAAAATATGATGATTTTTAATTGAATAAATCTACATGTTAAATGAACAAGTTAATGAAGTCGGTCTAATCCTACCAAAATCTTTTGAAAATTCTACGTTCATATGCATAGAACATGCTAAAAAGGGCGCGCCATTTGGCGCGACGAATTTCTAGTTACGGGCTATTGCAGGAAGCGCCCCGAAGGATGCCGACACACATACATACACTACTTACACTGATCATAGGTGACGAGTTCTCTTTTGTTAAGCCAGTGACCTCTCTTGGGATTACTACCATTTCCAATGAAGAAAAAGGAATCCAACATGCTACTTCTAAGTGGCAAAGGATGACTTCATATTTCAATGCCAGTCAGTAGACCAAATTTCACATTGAGATTACGAATTACGTGACCCATATTTTTGGATACTATGTTTTAGGCATTAATTGTAGGTTAAATTCATTTGCGTTTGTCAACTTTGAGCTAGAGAGGATAACTATGCATTGTAGGTTAAATTCATTCAATTACATATAAATGAATGCAACTTGATCTATTAGTACTAATTTTGTAGTTACATATATGATTATATTTTAAGTTTCCTTTTTCGGTGAGTATTTAGTTGAACTTTGTATCAATCTGCTATTCATCCATGTCAAAGTGCATCAAACTTATATGCATTTACCTGCATGCATTTGTAGAATGCAGTGCCAGGAATGCATAATGGAAATGCAAAAAGTCCCTGAGTGAAAGCATCGTACTGTTTCCACATCTTTCCGTCGGAGGTCGAGGAATCATAGCTGATTAACTTCTTTGCTGTAACCTTGAATATCATCTACAATAAATAGTAGTGATATAAAACATTAATTGTATATACCCTCGGTCTCAAAATAAATCAAATCATGGTATTGGATCTGCAAATATTCTTATCTAGTTAGCTTTATAGCTAGGATTTTGATTTTTTTTCCGCTGAGGTAATTATAGATGAGGTGAGTTGTTCTGTATTAGCTAAATAATTACCTTTGTAGTTATCTCTCTCTCTATATATATATCACCCTGTTGAATCTTTGGTGTAATTGGGACTGTTAATTTTCTATTAGAATATAATGATAATATGTTACAAAATTATAATATTCTAAAATTACTTATAAATAAAATATACTATAGAAATAATCTATGTATTTTGAGAGGCGTTGATAGTTCAATTTTTAAATTTTTGACCAAATAAAATGAGCAGCACCATATTTTCAAACATTGAAGTAGTAGTATTTTAGGATTAACAGATCAAACATACGCTTGAGACTGCCTCCTTGAGCTCGATGCTTGGCTGATTAAGCCATGAGGAAAGGCTAGCCTCCACCGTTTTCTGCACATCATGGATAATTTCTCGCCTGAGATTTTCAGGGCCGAAAAGCCGGAGGGCCAGGTTCTTGATATGCCTGTGTAACAACCCGTGTGTCCTGATCAGACTGTCGGTGCCAATGATCCTGATGAACGAGTCCGGATACCACATCTGGAAAAGCCTTTCTTCTTGTTGGAACACAAAGTTGGTCACCTCCGGATCGAGGGAAACAATCAGGTCTTCCATAATCATGTTAGTTTTGAAAAGTGGACCATACCAGAAAGTAGCGTATTTGGATGTTAATATGCATATGTTTTGTATTACTCTCTCTGTTTCAATTTAATTATCGTTCTAGCAATCACTAAATTAATTAGGAGATAGGTTCAGCAAATTACATTCCTGCCATCTTGGATTACACACGCTGCTACCCTGATTAACTATATACTCCGTACTCATTATCTTTCCCAAAAGCATGTTTTAAAACTCGTTATGAGGAAGTATGACTATTTTTATGAAGGGTAGGAAGATCAGAACAATAATTATTTTTGAAAAACAAAATTGAATGCTCGAATGGCAACTAAATTGAAACTGAGGGATTGTATATTATATGGTATTGTTGAGTGATATATGATGCCCCTTATTAACCTGTCTTTAGTAATATTTATATATATAGTAGGCTCTCATATCCCAATTTTAAAATAAAAATCTATAAATTCCAAAAAATATTTAGAAATTCCCACATTAATTTAAGCTACTCCATCCATCTCCCACCACACCTTCATTTAAATTAATCCAACATTACCAAAATATAAACACCCCTCATTTAATTTTCTCATATTGGTTTTCACTTTATTCTTAATCACTTATAGAAATGTTAAAAATTTATAGTTTGGGATGTATCGAGTCAGTTACTGACATAAAACGTACTAAGGGTATCCACAATGTGTTGTAAAAGTAGTCCATAAGCAATAGAATATTCCATTCAGCCACCTATTGCCATTGTGCAACTAGTCCATATAGAAAAAATAACAAAAGGTATCCATATGGATATGGACTACCCATATGAAATAAATTATATTATATATCTCTACTCTTCTCTCTTCTCCTAATGATACCTTGTATCCATATACATTGTGAAGATTGCCATAGGTAAAAACTACACTTTGCCATATACATTGGTGATGCCCTTAATAGATGGAACAACGATTTTTCCCTAGCATAAAAGGGATAAAAATGGATTATTTCGGATAGGGTGACTCCATTGTATCTCATGGTTCATTATTTTGCACCAAAATTACAGATTGAGCCGTAGGTCCTCACTAGTACAGAACACAAAATATGTAACGCCTCATATTTGTTGGTTCAAAATTAAAATCGGTATAAGGCTTATCAATCCACTCGAGCATTTATGACACCTTATATATCTGCGTTGGTTATGTAGATCCATAAAATCATTGGTTTTCATTACATACGTGGTAAGTTAATTTCTCATTAATCTTGATAAAAAGTACACCTGAGATTTTTGAATGGAGTACACATGTATAGCTATATTTAGAGCCTCATCTTTTCGCTTATTTTTATTACCCAAAATTTGAATTTCAAGCTTAAATTTGTAGTTGATATTGAGGTGTTTTTTTTATCAAAGTTCATTTTTCAGCCTTTACTTTTAAATTGATAAGAACACATATATAAAAGATTTATCAAAAAATATTTTTCGTTTATAAATATACCGTGCTACCTGTTTTCCTTTACTAGCAAAATGCCCATGCGTTGCATTGGGGGAAGAAAAAAATAGTAATTAGTGTGTGGGAGTATAAAACCCACCAGGTTCATTGGGGTCTTTATAGTCGAATCGAATCTTTCTAGTGCAAATAAGACGCTAACATGATATAATTATTTGTTGCTCTAAATCCACTGACATGGATACTAAACTTTGAAACCACAAAAAATATTTACTTTTTTGTCATGTATTATTATGAGTCAATTGCAGTACTTTGTTATTTTTTTTGGTACTCGATATTGATAAGCACTTTTTTTCATATTGTAAAGAGTAGCCATAATATAAGAAATATTTTTTTGCTAGCTATCATATCAACCTCACTGCACTCCAATTGCATAACCACTCACTTAAATAATCAGAAGGAAAGAAAAAAATGTGGTATATCGCAGAATAACTTTCACTCTAAATAATAGAAGAAATTATACAATGAATAAAAAAAAGTGATGTGATTAGGTGTCCTGTGGCGAATGAGCAATTGATGAGCGAAAAAAATCCAAATATAAACATGATTCAATTTGTTGGTGATTCCTTTTTCCAAAAAAAAAGAAAGACACATGTGATTATTTTTATTTTTAAAAAAGAATTTATTTTGTCGGTAAATAATTCATTGGTGACTACATGTTTTAAGTAATAAGATCTCTTCTTTTTCCTGCTTGGCGTGAGTCCAAACTTTATTCGTGTTCGGTTGCTACAGTGTTGCGCAGTACTGTGCTGGGCTGGTGGGCTGCTTCTCCTCCGCTCTGTGGGCTCGCTGGTAGGCTGCGGCTGCTATCTGGGCCGGTCTGCAGCTGCTTTGGATGGGCTGCCTCGTCACTAATCCAATCTGGGCTGCTTTGGATGGGCTGCTCCATAAACAAGGTTTTCTCTTTTTATTTTTCTTTTCTCCTTTATTTGCAGGCGTAAGAGATCGTGGCCACGCTTTCGGATCGTGGATTAGCGTGTGGGCCCACTCTTAATGATGGACGAAAAAATTAACCGGAAGCGTTACTTATTTTTTAATTAGGTATAGATATAGATATAGATAGATATAGATTTATTACATATCAAAACGGCGTTGGAAGAAGGCGGGGATCTGAAGGGAGGGGCTCAGGGCGAGGAACTCGAGCGTCTCGCCGATGATAGGGAGGCCCCTGGACCCCGGCACCATCCTCATCCCGTCTGCTTCGCATGGGCGACGATCGGTGTTCCCTTTCACAAAGACCAAACGGATCACCAACCAGCAGGCAGTTGCTAACACGGCCATGCCGGCAGTAACAAGTGCAATGCAAGGGTTCGCCCCTTGTGCCACAGGGAGTAGTAGCTGTACTCCCTCCATGTGTAGGTGAACCGTGTGCTCAGCAAACGGCCGGTTGGGTTGGCTTTCTTTGGATGGGGCTATTTATAGATCGCATTGTTGGATCTTCTCTCTCTATTTTAAAGTATACACAAAGGGTGTGTTGGGTAGGTGGTGATGGGAAGTTTTCCGTAGGCACACAAAACAAAGCTACTAATTAATGTATGATTAATTAAGTATTAGCTTTAAAAGTTTAAAAAATAATTTAATATTATTTTTTAAAAAACTTTCTTAAAAAAACAAAAAAAACATTACCATTTAACAGTTGGAAATCATACGCGTGAAGTACACGACTACCAGTCAATCAATATAGGGCCTGTTCAGTTTGATGCCAAAAAAAACCTTACCAAATTTTGGCATTGCCAAATTTTGGTATAGTTGCCAAAATTTTGGCCAAAATTTTGACAGGATTTCTTATATAGTTACCAAAATTTGGTAGTAAACTAAATGTAGCCACTTTTTTGGCAACTTTACCAAAATTTGGTAAGGTTGAAAATGACATCAAAATGAACAGGCCCATAGAGTACATATCCTATGTACACAAACATCTCGTGCACACTCCGTGCACATTAACTAGCAAATGTCACGAAAAATTCTTTAAAAAATGGACATTTACTCCTAATAGGATTACACATATTTACAAAGTTTCATATTCAAATTCGTTATATTTTAGTCGTAAAAAAAGTCAAAAAATATGACAGTTTTAAGGTAAATATCTATTACAATTTTTGTCTTTTTCTTGTTATGGCTAAAATATAATGGATTTGAAGATAAGATTTCACATAGGTGTAATACTTTTTTTTTTCAAGGAAAACAGGGAGCTTTATTAATTCAAGTTAACATGATTACAATCCAGAGCCAGCAGCTCAGACACACTCCCTGGGGCCTGGGCACGCCATACCGTGGACGAATTGGTACGGAGACAATCTGATACTTGTGAGACAAAGCTAAAGCTAATCTTGCTTCCTGAAAAATATTCCAGAGCTGGGATCTATCTTCTTCTGTCGCCTTCAGGACACTGCTAACATTTGCACAGTCCGTTTCGAGGATCAGCGGCATCTTGATCCATTCATTCGCCAGCTTAATTAACACCATCACGTCACGGCAAGCTGTAGCTTCCACTTCCTCTGCCGACGTGCAATATCTCATGACGCTCCAAGCAGAGAGAAGGACATTGCATTCATGGTCTCGAATAACAATCCCCACACTACCTTTGCTGGTCTGTGAAACGAAGGCTCCATCGACGTTTATTTTGGCCCAACCCGACGGAGGAGCCTGCCATTTGGTTTCAGACTGCTTGCACAGATCTATTTCCCTTGGAATGTACTGTTGTGTATCAGGGCAGGCCGTTTACCTTTACTATCCACAGCTCCATTGCTTCTGATCTGAACAACAGACTCCCACAGACCCTGCAGAAAGACCACCGAAGCTTGGATTGGACTCTTACCTGAGCCGAACAGACTATCATTCCTCAGGTGCCATGATGCACGCCAAATGAGCAGGAGAAACTGGAGCCGCTCGTCGTCATTCATTCTGTCTAGAATTAACAGCAACCAATCCGGACCGTAATGCACTAACACCCTTTCATCAGGAAAGAACCCAGCGGGATCTGAGGGCCTCACGCAAGGCAATTAACAGCCCGGGTGCAGGAGATGACGGCATTTTACATGACATTTGCTAATTGATGTGTACAGAGTATGCACGAGAAGATTATGTGTATATGATATGTTCTCATCTATATATATACAATTATACGTCAAATATTGATATATATGATCCTGCTCTCTTTGCTGCAGGGAGTTGATGATTTAAGAAAGAGGTCAATAGGCGAGTGACGGTCAATATTTCCATGGCAAAAATGAACTACTCTATCTATTTCAAATCTATTTTCAAGTAGAGAGAATCCCTTATATGCCATTGGAATTTGGTATGATCCCTAATATGCCATACAAAATTGGCTCTTCCCTTATATGCAATTGAGTCAAATTTGAGCACCTTCTTGCCACTCTCGTGAGTTGACCGTGTGTTGACTGATGTTAGCACCTATTGATCTGTCAGTTTTTTTTTTTTTGCATAAATGACCAAAATAACCTCTGGCCCAAACTTGAGAATATGGCCCAAATGGCCAAGCCCAATATTTCTCCTCATCAATGATAGAAAACCCTAGATTGTGGCAACACAGGAAATCTTGTATATACAGTATTCATATAATGAATATAATGCTGAAAATTATTCATATAATCAATATAATGCTGAAATTTATTCATATATTCAATGTAATGCATGCTGAAATGTTGTATATACATGTACATGTCAACCAAATTAAAAAAAAATGTCATATATTGGTACTGCATGTCTAACAACTCAGGGGTAAATACGTCTTTTTACTATCAAGTTAACAGTCAACACGGTCAACTCATGGAAGTGACATAAGAGGGTGCTCAAATTTGACCCAATGGCATATAAGGGAAGAGCCAATTTTGTGTGGCATATCAGGGATCAGGCCAAATTCCAATAGTATATAAGGAATTCTCTCTTCCAAGTACTTATCGCTATAGCTAGCTAAGTAGTATATACATCTGTTGTTTTACCATCAATTTAAAATTGTCTCGTTGAACTACAAGTGAATTATTTGTGGATGTGCGTTTTATTGTAAAGCTACCTTCTTCATATAGAAGTTCGGGTAATGTAGTTAAAAGCAATAGACAGAGTACTTCGTTAAGGAGTTAACAACATCTCTTGATATTGAGGAGAAAGCTTGGGAAAAGACGTTGCGTCTAAAAGCAATAGGTGGTATAGTCTAGTACCAGTACCAATGTGGTGCACAAGGCCTCAAAAAGAAACAAAAGGAGAATTTGTCAAAGCCCAACCAAGCATCAACTTCAACAAGAAGAAGAATAATACGAGCTAGCATAAGAGAACTTGCTGCATGTGACATGCCTAGTCATTTGGTCAAGAATTATCCATGATACCAGGGAAAAAGGGTATGTGCAGGACAAACTTCTACGTCTCTCAAAGTGACTGTTATCCAATTAACCATACTGCAGATAGAAACGGGTGGTGATTTGCATACAATTGTTGAGTTAATCAATCCACTAATTGGTGGGTTAATATAGGGCCAACGTATATGTTGACATCCCATTGTTTTTTTTTTACCAGGTCACACTAGACTCCTTCATTTGAATGGTGAATGGGTTGTATGCTTCTATTCACGATGTTAGCACGATAAATTGGAAGGTTACTTATTTTGGGACAAAGTATCTTTCTCTCCACTAAGACCGATGGAGCGCTGGCATTACATGCCTACTAGTCAACCTATACTGATGTTTTGATCATATGTTTGCTGCCTGGTGTTGATTCAAGAATGAGGACCTTAAATATGTGACGATGATTGCATGGTGTTGAGCAGCAGCAGCAGAGGCGACGGTATTAAAAACGGAGAGGAGCAGGAGCACGCAACGGCGGCGATGCGAAGCGCAGGGAGCAGGAGCTTGTCAGCGGTGGAGGCGGGGTGGGAGCGCGGCGGTCAGGAGGGGGTCGGCGACTCGGCGAGATATGCTCTGCGGAGGACGCCGTCCGAAGGAACGGGCGAAGGAAAGGGGGAGGCAATTTTTCCACGAAAAAGGCTTCGCGCGGATCGTGCGTGGGAGTATCGTGAAATATCACGTCCATAGGATCTCGTGGATCGACACATGGATTCTTAGTTGGGACTGCCTATAAATATCATGCTATATTTTTAGTGAAAAAGTAGTTAGGCCCTGTTTAGATTCCAATTTTTTTTTCAAATTTTCAAATTTTTCATCACATAAAACTTTTCTACACACACAAACTTCCAACTTTTCCGTCACATCGTTAAAATTTCTTCAAACTTTCAATTTTGGCGTGGAACTAAACACAGCCTCACCATGTATTTTTACAATGCCTATATTACATATATGTAATTTTAGTGTGTTTACAATATAAGTTCCAAAATTACACATTTAACTCCCTAAATTACACCCAAATATTTTTTGTGTATTTACAATTTTAGTCTTACTTATCTATATAATTACACTACCTTACATATACCTTTTGGGGGCAAGCACCATGTCAGAGCACCCAAATTCAGCCTCCTACTCCAGCAATAGCCCCTATTTAACAACCCCTACTTTTTCTCTAAAATTTTCTTCAAGAAAAAAATTCCTAAAATAAAAACTCCACCCCTCGCCTCCACCGCTGCCTCCTTCCTCCTCGTCTTCCTCCTCTCCACTGCTGCCACCTCCTCATGCGTGGCCCCTACCACCCCCATCGCATGGGCCCCCGTCGCCTCCTCACCCGCGGGCTGCCACCGCCTCCGCAAGGGATGCTGAAGCCGCTGTTGCCTCCTCCGTGCAGGACGCCAGAGCCGCTGCTGCCTCCTCGAGTGCGAGCTGCTAAGCCACTACCGCCACCGCGCTAGATGAGGTAGAGGGAGGGCGGCTCAGATCCGGTTGGCAGGCAGCGGGGCGAGGGCACTTGTTGCCACCTACGCGGGAAGAGCGGTGGAGGCGGCGGGGCAGTACCCGAGTCTGGCGGCGATGGATCTGGCCGGTGGTGGCGGCGCCAAGCACAGCTGGAGGTGGAGGAGGGTGAGCGGCGGCACCGTGCACGCGTGAACAGGCGCTGCGAGAAGGGAGGTCGTTGGAGGCGTGGACCCTGTGTGAACAGTGTTTGGGGACGAGAGAAGAGCCCATAGCCCCCCCCTCCCCCCGCCACCCATTCTAGGGGCTGGAGTAGAGGCCCTGATGGACCTCGTTTTTTCCTATCCAGCCCCTAAAATAGTTTAAGGGCCCTGCTGGAGTTGCTCTAATTACACTAGATTTGTACTATAATTATATTTAACGTTTTTTTTATCTAAAAGACCCTATTTTAATCACTCATTGAAAGCTGATAGGCAGCAAACGCACTTTTAAACCACGCAGTCATGCACCCACACAATATAGCATGAATCTTAAAAACAAGGG